TATTAATTTTAATAAAAAAAATTTGTTAAAAATTTTAACAAATTTTAGCTCTTATCTAACTTTTGTTGTAGTAATTATAATTTTATAAAAATTTATATCTGATCTACATTTATATAGTACTATTTACAGTAAAAATTTTAAGACTCTAGCATTTTAATTTAAAAAGTTAAGAGTGGGATATTTATGATTCTGACTGTATATCGTACCTTTCTCTTATTCTTTGTCTCTTCCTACCTCTCTTTTTTCTCAAATCTATTGTACCTCAATCATATCGTTTCTCAATACATTATATTCTAACTCAAATTTTTTTTTTGCCGCATACAACATCTCTTTTTTTTTTGTTCATCTTTTAACAACCCTCTTAATACCTCCAATCTAAATTCTTCCAATTCCACTACTTCATCTAACATCTTCTCCAATTTTCTATTCTTTTCTTCTAACCAAAACATCATATTCTTCTCCGTTTTCTCTGAAACTTACTTATTCCATCTATTAAAATTTAATTATTTTTAGTATTTTATTATATTAAATTATAGTATTTAAAATTTATTATTATTATTACCAGTCTTCTTCTACGTTCTCTACATTTTCAACATCTTCGACATCCTCAATTACTTCTTTTTGCTTACCCTTATCTGAATTCTTACTATTATATAAAAATTATATTAGTTATTATAAATTGTTATTTATTTATTATATTTTTTATTTTTAACGGTTTGGATAGCGATTGTTGTTTCCTTTTTGTGAATGAGGCATTTTTTTAATAGTGTTTTATTATTATTATTATTTTTTTAAATTTTTGGTTGGATCAAAAACTATATTATGAAGATAATCGAACATCTAATTTAAAGTTTAGATCACATGTAAAAAAATTTTTCGATTGGATAATCAAGCTGCACAAATAATCTTTTTAAGGAGTTAATTTTCAAAATTTGATAATCATTCTGATGTAGACTACAAGTTTGGATATCACTCTGTAAGCAGAGTAACCCGAATTCAAAACCAGTAAAGAAAGCTATCCTTCTTAGAGTACTGATCTTATATAGGATACGTGATGGCCATTCAAGGGATGAAATATCAGAATGAGAATTTTTTTTTACTTTATTTTATTTATGGGAAAATTAAATTAGCAACCCGTCGCTATGCGACCCTTTTAAATTAACCAATCATTTTTAGGCATATATTTCAATTTTAGATACCACGGATTTTGTATGGGTTGGGTCTATTCTTTTTTCGATTTGTATACCCAGGTAGACCTGGGTATAGCACATGTTTACGGTACTTTATTATCTGTTGTTTGTTGCTTGGCGTGCATTGTGCATGCATACGTACTATACGTATGTATATATCAGATATACGTTAATGAATTTTTAATCGCGTTTTAAAAATATTTTTACCTGTTACAGAAGTAATGAAACGAAGTAGAAAGTAGTAAAAAACAAAACCAAATCATAATACTGTCTAGATTTTTTTCTAGAAAAAAAAGAAGCAAAAAAAAAAAGAAAACAAAAAAAATCCCAAATAACTAACAAAGTAAGAAGCAAAGAAAAAAAAAACCTGTAGCGAAACAAGAATAAAAAAATAAATCATTTTTTTTTATTTAAAGCAATACGTTTTATAATTCAAATCGTCAAGACATGGAACCTAAGATTTTAGACAATCAAAACATAGAACCTGAGGTATTAAACAATTATGATGCAGAACTCGAAATATTAGCAGCATATGATAGTACAGATGACTTTTCTGATATCGATATTGATAAGTAAGTAATGCCTTATGTTTTATTTTACTGTTGATCTTTTTTTTCATATCGCTATTTTTGTTTTAGTTTTGATGATATTGAAGAATTTTCAGTTGGCAAAACCTTTAAAGACTGGGATCAAGTAGCAGACTTTATGAAGAAATATGCTAGTATTAAGGGTCATGGAATACGAATCGGCGGTGGTGGAAGAGTAAATACAAAAACTAAAAAAATAATAAAACGATCATATTTGTGTCGCCATGCTGGAAAGCCAGCAAAATCAAGCGAAGTGTCTTGTCGAGTAGAATGCCTGTGGAAAGTTAATTTTTGGTTCAAAAATGAGAAAAATTGTATTGAAGTCACGACTTTTAATAATGAGCATGTGGGTCATGAGCTTAATCCACTAGCAAGCTATTTCGATCCAACATTACGCAAGTTACCTAAAGAAATTGTAGAAGAAATTCGTTTTTTAACAACCATTGCAAAGGCGGATGCAACCATGCAGTATAGAATAATTAGAGAAAAATATAATGTTAGAATATACCGACCGGATCTGTACAAAACAATTCAAATGTTCCGGCGTGATTCTGAACCAGGTGAAGATGACGCAGGAATGTTGTTAATAAGACTTAATGAAAAAAAAATTGAAGATCCCCGATGGGTTGTTTTAATGGAATTTGACCCGGTTACTTCTTCCTTAACTCACCTCTTTTGGATGAGCCCGGAGCAGCAAATTCTGTGGTTACGCTACCACGATATAATAATGCATGATAATACGTGCAAAACTAACCGCTATGATCGCCCTTTATCTATTTTTGTTACACCTGATAATAATTTGAAAACACGGATTGTGGCTCAAGCCATTGTTGATGATGAAACACAATTATCCTATGAGTGGGTTTTTAAATGTGTTGTAAAGGCAACTGGATTAGCACCAAAGGTCTTAGTAACAGATGGTGATCTGGCAGTCAATGGTGCTGTCGCAACACAATTTCCCAATACGTTTCACATGCATTGCATTTGGCACATAAGCCAAAATTTACCAAAAAATTTAAAAGGACTACTTAGTTCTCATTATGATAATTTTATTAAAGATTTTTATATTATGAGAAATAGTTTAGCAGAGGAAAAATTTAATGAGAGGTAGGAGTAATAGCATTATTACCTCGTAAGATTTGTATTACAAGTATCCTAATTATTTTTACTTATTCAAAGATGGGAGAAACTACTGCAAGATTATCCACAAGCTAGGAATTATTTAATGAGGTCTTTGGGCTGTTGTATTAAATCGTGGGCACGTGCATTTACCAGTAGATATTTCACAGCCGGTGTACAATCAACTTCCCGTAACGAGGGTGAGAACTCAGCATTAAAACGTCTTTTTGGGAGTTCAAGTCTTTCATTATGCGAGCTATTTGAGGCCTTAGAAGAAAGGTACCAAGAAGAAATCGATTACTGCAAGTTTGTAAGCTGGAAACAAACTATTCCACAAATAGGACCAAAAAATGTGGCAAAAACTATTTTTGAACCCGTAGTACGACAACTAAACGAGTTTGTAATGCCAAACATAATGAAAAAACAGGAGGAGCAAATGAATTTGAGCTTTTATTATCATGCTATTGAGGTTGATCTTGAAGTTATATTCTCTAGAGAGAGGGTAAGATTTTTATAGTTGGTATTATAATTGTGGCAAAACTACTTAGAGGGGGGTCATTTAAAGCCAGGTTCATTACGAGATCTTCTATTACGCATGACCTATCTTGGTACAATAAGAAAAAATGGTAGGGAGACGATTTTATATATAGAAATCTCCCGATTTTGGCCAATATAAGGCCCTAAACTAACTCTAACCTTAATGTTAATTTAAATTCGTGATAGACCTGGCTTTAAGCATTCTCTTAGAGGTGTGAGCACAATGCCGTAATTATAATGAATTATGGCATTGTGCTCACACCTCTAAAACCACTATTGCCCGTGTCATAACAATTATAGACATGAGTTCTAATTATTATCAATAATATTAAAATATTTTTTTACAGCATTACTAATCATTATTCTTTTAATTGGTAATTATTTTAGGAAGTTGATGAATCCGAACAATGTATTGATAACTTGTTTGACTGCCCACAAATGCAACTGAAATCATTTCTAAACGATTTTTCAATAATTGTTGAATCTTGGGAAGTTATGCACTTAATAAGTTCTGGCACTTCTCATTTTGTACATCTTTTGAATGATGGCGCTTTTCTTTGCACTTGTATGCTTGAAAAGTCTCATGGATACCCCTGCCGTCACTTTTATCGTATTATGACTTTAACTCCTAATGCAAGATTTCATATCGGTTTAGTCAATAGGCGCTGGTATAAAGATGCTTTACAAGGGACCGACATAACAAATAATGGATTCATAGTCATTTCCTCGAATTTATCTATGTCAACATCAAAGGCACATATTTTGCCAACACAATTTTTGCATAGCGAATTCGACACTAATATAGCTGAAGAATTTGCAAATAATAACCAATCTCCTGATGAAATATCTAAGGCTATTTCGAAAAAGCGCAAGTTTGGTGAACTTTGGGGATTAGGAAGAAAAATAATGATTAATGCAATTGAGAATAGCAGTGAAGAACTTTATCATGAACTTCTTGGATTTTTTACCTCAATCCAAAACAGAACATTGCCGCGGAGAGTTATTAGCAAAGTTAATGATGGTAATGAATTTAGCCATAATATTAACAATAATGGTTGTATGATAGATATTCGAAATCCTGTTAAAAGAAAATCAAAAGGTCGTCCAAAGTCAAAAAGAATTGCAAATACCTTTGAGAAGTCCGATACAAAAATGAGTTACAAGTGCAAGTTATGCAAAAAAAAGGGGCATAATAGCAAAACTTGCAAAGAAAAATCAAACATTTATGCAAATAATACAAATGGTGAAATTGAAAGGTAAGTGTAGCGTATGCGATCTAAGGTGCCCAAACCTTTAAACAACTTTTTCAAGAAACCTACCAATTTGTTACACAAAGTTTTAAAATATATTTAACGCTAAAAAAATTTGATTACTGTATTTGATTTATAC